GAGAGAGAGAGAGAATTTTTTAATATTTATTTTTTAGTTTTCGGCAGACACAACATCTTTGTTTGTATGTGGTGCTGAGGATCAAACCTGGGCCCTATGCATGCCAGGTGAGCGTGCTACCGCTTGAGCCACATCCCTAGCCCGAAAATTACATACTGATAGCAGAGTCAGTGGATCCTGAGTGGACAAAACCACACATTGCTTGTTAGTGTTGGCATTCTATCCCTGGCTCTGCAATGTGTAGCTCAGCTTTCAGAGATCCTGATTTCTATTTATAATAAATGAATCAAGTATTGCTGAGGACTAGGATTGATTATTAGCCCTGAATAGATTATTAGTTTCTCAAATCACAAAAAATTAATGATGCAAATAAATTATATTTAATTTGTATCATTTTATGGATTTATAAGACAAAAAGTATTATATGTTTGGCCATCTCAGCTAGTTATAAAATGTTTATTTCACATTAAGTACTGTGAATTTCATGAAGACAGGGACTACAAATTTTTCAGTAAATGCCACTATTTAACGAATGCCTGGTTTATCAGAAGGGCTCAAGAAACTTGGTAAAGGATCGTTTTCATTAAGTTTATTAGTTATGATAAAATTATTTGCCAAAAGATATTTATAAATTGTCAGAACTCTTTGGATGAGAACAATTCCTTTCCAGTGGCTAGAGGTTGAGGAAGGAAAAAGTTAGAGACAGGTGTTCCAGCCACAAGCACTCAGAGTTGAAGACCTTCACTCCCAAACTCTCCACCCACTAGTACAAAACTCAGCAAGAGATTCTTATCTTCTATATATAGTAGTTTTATATTCTATCATCTAATATGAATATGGTGATTTTATAATATTTATCAAAATACATACTAGGACTTGACAGTCTTACACAGACCTCTCTTTACCCCTCCCCTTTAGTTTTCCTGCTAACCTCCAAATCATATACCATTCCCATAAATGGTCCTGCTATTTTATGCCATTTTAACTTGGTGCCCAAACCTCTGTCACTAAGTCATTTTTAACCTTATAGAACCTTGCTTATTTTTCTCCGTTTTACCTTCTTTCTGTGGCTTCTCCTCCTTGATTTGTAAGTGGAGATTTCAATATTTTTTTTTTCATCTTAAAATAACCTCTTAGTTTGGAGGGGGATAAACAAAAAAACTAATGCAGGGTCTGTTTTCTATCCTGGACCCTGATCAGACTTCTAGTGGAGAACTCTTTGAGCAAAAAGTCCTTAAAAAATAAGAGGTGGTCCAAGTGGACAGATGGAGGAGGAAGCGTGTTCTAGGCAGAGGAAGAGCAAGCACAAAAACTTTCAGTTGCAGGCTTGCTGGTTTGGGAGGAAGTCAGGAGACTGCTTTTATATGGAACTGAGTTTGTGAGTGTGAACAGATCTATATGGGATTGGAGAAGTAGTGGGGAGCTCAGGTCATATCACACTTCATAGGCCTTTGTTGTTTACCCTAAGAGAGCTGGGAATCCGTTGGAAGATTTTGGACAAAGAACTATGGTGCAGCTTATGTTGAACACACCACTCTTGTACTTGTGTTGAGAATAGGCTCACAAGACACAACGAATAAAGGAGCTCAGTTAAAACAGATGGTTCTCTGCCCAACACAGGATCTGAACAGTAAAATAGGGTTAGTTATCTAGCTGAATAATTTAAAGAATTACCAACAGATGTATCCATTTACACGGAAAGTTGAAGTAACTGTAGCATCCACAGAATTTACGAGTTCTTTTTGTCTTCCTGTTCCTAGGAAAATTTCTCTGAACTTTCTCTGTGTATTGACTGGTAATTGGGTGATGATATTTGACAAATCTCCCTGTACATTTTTAAGCATCTTTTAGTCCTTTGAAAGTTTCATTAACTTCCATGATTTAAGTTTTATATTAAACCATGGTTCTACTAGTCTGGCATATTATTTCTGCTAGTGTTTTGCTGAAGGTTTGCTTGTAAGGCATCCTTTGCAAGCTAGGGACACTGTGATGTCTTTATTTAGTCACAAAGCCATAATGTTAATATGTGCATCACTCTGATCTTATGAGAAACAGCTAAAACTGATCAGTTCAAGGAAAATATAACCTAAAGATACATATACTTTTTAAAGGAGAAATATGTTTACTTAAACAAAAAATAAAAAATGGAAAGTAACATTCTTTGTGTCTTGCATGTAGTTTGGGTTTCTCCAGATTCAAATCCCTGAAGATTTCAAGTGCAAATATATTGGGAGTTGATCCTAGAAGATGTGTTAGTGGAATGGAGAAGTGAGACAGGAAAGGGACAGAACTCAAAACAGAATGCATCATCAAGGGAACTCAATAAAACAGTAGAGCCAACTTGCTTCAAGTTTTTGACCACAGTTTCTTCCCCGTTCCCTAGTCAGGAATTGAGGGCCAGTCTAGTGGGGAGTCTTAACTCCCTGGTATGTCTTACTTCCTGCACAGGTGGGTAGAATAAAGTCCTGGGCAATGAAATGCAGATGCTGGCACTTCCAAGTTAAGTCAAAATGCACAGGAAAGTAATAGAGAAGGAGATATTCATGTGGCACCAAAAGCAACTGCTTTACTTTATTTGCCAAGAGAGAGAAATGCATAGATGTAAAAAGTATAAATTTGTTTATTTTGCTGCTGGGTTTTAAGATTTTTCCAAATCTACTACTCATATCTACTACTCATATTTTCCCAAATCTAGCTACTCATATCAGGGAATTACTAAATATTTCTAAATACTAACTATTTCTTGAATTTGTTGATATCTCATCACTATCTCCTTCAATGAATGAACCAGTGAATGAATGAATGACTATACAATTGAAATCCATATGGTTGAGTGCCAGGATGATATAGTTCTGTTAGAAACTACTCTGGTGTCTATTCTCATTGGGAGCCCTTACTTCAAAGCTAGATCTGCTTCAGGCAGTCCCTGTCTTACTGTCAGTACTGACAACATTCTGCTTCATGGGGTTAATCAAACATATCTTAGAGTGGAGACTCAATATCACCTTTTAAAAATATTTTTTATTGGTACTTATAATTATACATAACTGTAGGATTCATTATGCCCTAGTTGTACATGCACATCACATAATTTGATCAAACTCATTCCCCAGTACCTTCCCTTTTCCTCCCCTCCTCCTTCCCTCATCCACTTGCTGTACTGATCTCCCTTCTATTATTATTTAAATTAGTACATTATAATTATATGTAAATTATATAATATATAGGATTCATTCATAGCATACTTTGGTTTATTTTTTTCCCCAGTATTTCCTTATGCCTTCCCCTCCCTCTTCCCTCTTAATCCCTTTTATGTACTCTTATTATTCTCCATTCTATTTGAATAAAATTTACTTTTTTAAAAAAAATCCCGTCCCTACCCCCGTCTCTCTGTCTCTGCCTTCCACATAGAGAGAAAACATTTGACGGTTGACTTTCTGAGTCTGGTTCATTTCACTTAGCATGGTGTTCTCCAGTTTCATTCAGCAAATGCCATAATTTCATTCTTCTTTATGGTTGAATAGAATTCCATTGTGTATATAGACGACCTTTTCTTTATTCAGCCATCTTTTGATGGGTACCTAGGCTGATTCCATAAATTGGGCTATTGTCAAAATCATATTTTGAAAGGAAAAAATGTTTATGGAGAACTTTACTTACAAAATGTATGCATCAGTTCTCTTGGTCATTATCTAACTCCTGTCTAATGTCAAGTACAGGAGATCGGTGACAGGTGGCCCAACTGAGTGGTTTTTGCTGGTAGCCTGGAACTGGGGGTGCAGATGGGCAAAGTACCATAAAGTAGGAAGTAGGAACTTAGGAAGTCAGTGAGAAAAAGTAGACATTGCTCCCAATTAGGGGCTAAATCAGAAATAGAATAAGCAGTACAAACTGGAATCAGCGATTTATGCAGTTAGGATGTGAGTGGGGAGACAGAGAGAGATGAACAATTAAAGGACTTAATGAATAATGAATACTGAAATGGATCAACAGGTGTCAGGCTTCCAAGAAATTTTGACATTGCTGGCATGGATATGGAAAAAAGGAACTCTAGTTCACTGTTTATGGGAATGTAAATTAGTACAGCAATTATGGAGAACAGTATGGAGCTTGCTCACAAAACTAAAATTAGATCTACAATGTGATCCAGCTATTCCACTTCAGTGTGTAAATCCAAAGGGAATAAAATCAGCATATAAAAGAGATACTTACACACCTATGTTTATAGTGACACTATTCATAAGAGCTAAGATGTAAAATCAGCCTAGATGCCCATCAACCCCAGAATGAGCAAAGAATATGCAATATATATATGTGTGTGTGTGTGTGTGTGTGTGTGTGTGTGTGTTTATGTGTATACACATGCACACATTGTGTGTATATGTATATATGTTTATGGATATGATATGCACACATACATAATGTGTATATATATACATGTAGTGTTATTCAGCCATAAAGAAGTATGAAATCCTGTCATTTACAGAAAAATGGGTGGAACTGAAGGATATTACGTTAAATGAAATGACAGATACTGAAGGTCAAGTACTACATGGCCTCTTCCTATGTGGAATTTGAAAAACATCAACCTGAATATAGAATAATGATTACTGGAAGTTGGGGAAGGGAGTTGGGGGTGGATAAACAGAGGTGGGATTTGATTAGCATGTGCTTGTATTGGAATATCACACTGAATCCCAGTAACATGTACAATGAATACATCTTCTTTGAAAATAAAACTTTTATATAGCTATGTTTTATGATGCAGTTCAAGCATTGATAGAGGTAGGGTCATGAAACCAGAATCTAGGAACCCCTGTTTTATTTGGGGAGTCCAGTTTGAGTTTCACGACCATGCAGTGCCAGCTGGGGGTGCACTGCCTTTGTCCCTTTGCCATCCGGCTCTTTTTTTTTTTATTAGTTGCTCAAGACAATACAATGATCTTGACATATCATACATTTGATTCAAATGGGGTATGAATTCTCATTTTTCCACGTGTACCGGTTGCAGGATCACATTGGTTATACAGCCACGTTTAAACATACAGCAATACTAGTGTCTGTTGTGTTCTGCTTCCCTACCTATCCCTCCCTCCTTCTCATCACCTCTCTCTACCCAATCTACTCTAACACATTTCTCTCTCTTTTTCTTCCCCCTCACACCATCATATATGTATTTTGTATAACGATGAGGGTCTCCTTTCATCTTCCGTGCAATTCCCCTTCTCGCTCCCATTCCCTCCCACCTCTCTTCCCTGTTTAGTGGTAATCTTCTTCTCATGCTCTTCCTCCCTACTCTGTTTTGAGTCACCCTCCCTTATAGCAGAGAAGACATTCAGCATTTGTTTTTTAGGGATTTGGCTAACTTCACTTAGCATAATCTGCTCTAATGCCATCCATTTCCCTGCAAATGCCATGATCTTGTTATTTTTTAGTGCTGAGTAATATTCCATTGTGTATAAATGCCATGTTTTTTATCCATTCATCTGGTGGGTGTCCCCTTTCTCCCTCAAGGTTCCATGTGTGTCCCTCCCGAAGCTGCACACTCAGTCCAAGAGGAATGCCTTCCCCGATAGAGGAGGACCGTTCTTTGGTCAAGGGTCTACGAGTAGTGCGCTCCCCTGCTAGAACCTCCAAACACGCTCTCAAGGCCATCAGGCTTCTTAAATCCTGGAAGCACGTCAGCAGACAGGAAAATAAAGCTGGGGCTGAAGTCATTTCAAATCCGGATGAACCTCTGAGGTGGCTTGCACTTGGTATCACTTATAAAGAACTCATTTTCTTTTACCTTTTTGGACTTTCAGACTATGAAACAAAGTTTTCCAAGAGAGAAGATTGGCAGGGATTGGAAAGAAGTGATCTCCTGAAGTACTTTAGAGACTGTGGCCATTACCCAACCCAGAAGCAGGTTGATGAGTATTGGGACTTGTTCAACAAAGGTAAGGGGTACCTGATGTCTTTTCTGCTCTCCCCTTCTTACCTTTTCACTTTCTTCTTTCCTTCTCCCTACTTTTCTCCCTTGTTTCTCCCTTCGTTAATCCCTCCATACCTTTCTTCTCTTACTTACATTAAATTTGTTTTAAAATCATTTTCCTCAAATCTCTTTGTACCTGAGTTTAGTACATACAAAGGAAGGCAGGGTAAAAAATGTTAATAAGTTTATTCTTAACTTTTATATCTTTGTAAATGTCTATTTTGATATAACAAATTCCTCATAGCTGAATATATTTTGAATGATAAAATTTTAAATACTGATACTAATAATTGTTCTCCTGGATAGTTACATTTGGTTCTGGTAAACACAGTCAAGTTTAAATATACCAATATCATAAACTATTTCAATACAATAGAATTTTACCATTAGAAAATGATTTCTTTTCTGAACAGTAAATAAATTAAAGAATAATATCATCTGACAATATTTAGCAATGTATATGGAGCAGCATTTCACTCTTCTCTGGATCCCTAGTAGATGGGTGGGAATTGTCACTGGGGTATAGGAAATACCAGTGAATTTTCCTTAAGATTCTTTTCAGTTTTTCTTTCATTCACTTCTCAGATTTGTTGATATGTAATTGACAAGTAAAAATATTCAAGTTGCTTGATATAATCATTTACCACAATTACCACAATCAAGTTAATGAAGCCACCTATCTATAGTTGCTGTGTGTGTGTGTGTGTGTGTGTGTGTGTGTGTGTGTGTAGGTGAGGGGGTGAGGCCACTTACGATCTTCTCTGAGCAGATTTTAAGTAAACAATACAATGTTATCAACTATTTTTCTTTCTCCTTTCTCTTATTTGTATTATAGATCACTCTGCTGTATATTATATGTCATTAGTATCCACTCCATAAAAGAAAGTTTGTATGTTTTCGCCAACATCACCTCATTTCACTCAAAACTCTTCCCCTAGCAACCACCATTCTACTTTCTGCTTTCACGAGTTCAACTTTTTTTAGAGCCCACCAATAAGGGAGTTCATACATTTTTTGCCTTTCTCTGTCTGGCTTATTTTATTTAGCACAGTGTCTGGTTGGTACATTGTCACAAGGACATGATTTCCTTCTTTTACAAGACCGAATAATATTCCATGTGTACATGTAGATTTTCTTCATCCATTTGTTCCTTAATAGACATTTACTTTGGTTGCATTCCTTGATTATTGTAAGTAATGTTGCAGTGAACACATGTGTACAGATATCTCTTAGACATACTAATTTTATTTTCTTCAGATATTTACCCAGGAATGGGTTTTTGGGTCTTGTGGTTTTTAATTAAGAATTTCCATATTGTTGTCCATAATGGCTGTACCAATGCACAATCCTAACAACAGTGTTTCTGTGTTCCCTTGTCTCCTAATCTTCACCAACATTTCTTTCTTGTCTTTTTGATAATAGTCATAACGTATGTGAGTTGCTACCTTATTGTGGTTTTGATTTGTATTTTTCTGATGACCATTTGGGGGAAAAAAACTCTATTCAGGTTCTTTACCTATTTTTAGTTGAATTATTTGTGGTTACCTTGATATTAAGTTATGTGAGTTTGTATACTTTGAGTATTAAAGCTTTATCACACATAATGGCATGCAAATATTTTCTCCTATTCTGTAGGTTGCCTTTTCATTTTGTTGGCTGTTTCTTTTGCTCTGAGAAGGTTTTTAGTTTGATTCAGTTCCACATTTTTGTTTATTTGGTGAATTTTGTTTCTTTTTGTTTGCTTTTGGGATCACATCTCAAAAATCTTAGCTAAGAACAGTGTGAAGGAGTTTCCACCATGTGCTTTCTTCGAGGAATTTTATGGTTTTCAATCATAGATTTGAGTATAATTCCTTTTGAGTTTGATTTTATATGTATGAGATAAGGGTCCAATATCCTATCCTATCGCACAAGGAAATCTGTTTTTCTCTAAGCCATTTATTGAAGATGCTCTCCTTTCCCCATTGTAGGGCACCATTGTCAAAGATTAGTTGTTTGTCTATGTGTGGGCTTATTTCTGGGCCCTCTATTTTGTTCTATTTGCCTCTTCATTTTCCTGCCTGTGCCATAGTGGTTTTTTTTTTTTTGTAATATTTGAAATCAGGAAGTATGATGCCTCCAATTATTCTTTTTCAAAATTGATTTGACTATTTGGGATTTTTTTGGTTTGTTTTTATACAATTTTTAGGTTTGCTTTTTCTAAAATGCTTTTGGAATCTTGGTAGGGATTGCATCAAATCCATAGGTCATTTTGGGTAGCACAGTTACTGTAATGTTCTTCCAATCTATGAAGATAGGCTACCTTTCCATTTATTTGTAACTTTCATTTGTTTCATCAGTGTCTCTCGTTTTTAATATGGAGATCTCTCATCATCTTCTTTAAATTTATTCCTAAGGATTTTATTTATTTTGATGCCATTGTCAAAGAATTTTAAAGTTTTCTTTTCAAATGATTTGTTAGTGTAGGAAAATGCAAATTACTTTTGTATATTAGTTTTTTTTCTTTACTAATGCTGTGGCTTTCTGATGTGTTTAGAGATAATATGTCCACAATTTCATCAAGAATCAAAGGTAAACAAACTAAAACATTTCAGGACCAATTTTTGATATAGGGAAAGACTCACTCCTAAAAGTGCGAGTAAATATTGAAGCTTCATTGTATTTTGGAGCTCCTCCCCTTCATTCTTAGTGCAGATTTACCCAGTTCTTTACCCACAATATTGTTTTGCTGTTGTCCTAGTACAATGAACATTTTTCAAGACTTTGATAAATATTCATTCACTTCTTGACAGAGACATCCAAATCACTTTGCATTTCTGTGGTTATGACTAAGTTGTTTCAAATTATTTTTCCTAATGACCAAAATAGTGAATATAAAAAATGTGGGAAATACTGTAATATATAACATTTCTAAGAAATCGAATTTGGTAACAGTGGATTTTTATCTTTCCATTTTTTTTCCTGTGCAGATTACATTAATTTTTATGAAAATTGATATTTTTACATATTGCTGGAGTATCTGATTTTTTGCTTTTTAATAAGTTTCCAATCCATAAATATATTTTATCACATTATTTATGACTAGTAATCTGTCATGATTATATCTGTCCTATCATACATTTGCTGTTTTACATTTATGTTGTTTTATTTTCCTTATAATAATAAAATTTTTAAAATTAAGCAAAGCAAAATATTAAGTGTTTCAGAACTTTACAAATTAGTGTTATCAATTTAATTATAAAGCTTTTTTCAAGTTAGTAGTTTCACAGGGATATTTTCCTCTTCCAATTACTTTGAGCTACATGATAATGGGTTAGATTTAGAACATAGCTCTAGAATTAACTTGTTTAGGTTTATTTCCTCACTTTACCTCTTAACAGCTATATGTCTGGACAAGTTGTTTATTGCACCTATGCTTGTTTTTCTCAATTATAAAAAAATGATAATACCTACATCATTGGACTATTGTGAGGCTTAAATGAAATTATTCATGTAAAATATGTGAGTCATGATAAGTGCTCAGTAAATGTTTGCTAACATTATTCATTAATAATTCCTGTACATCCATATTCTCATAATTGTTTTCAATTATTTTTATTTTGAAACTGTCTAAATATTGAATCCATTGGATGCTGACTCATTTTTATAGAGATTTTTGTATTGAATGTCATCCATTGGCTTCTACATGTATGTTTGGTTTTGATTATCATAATGAACTTCTTGCTAAAGCAGGTGATATTCTCATTTATGCTCATTTTGAAGATAAGAGAACTGAGATTTAGAGGATTTCTAAACTCATTGTTAAACTGAAATTTTAACCCTTCAATCAAAGGTCAATACTCTTTTCATTTTATCATGTAGAGACATTTTTAAAGATCAGTATTATGAAAACATAAATGGATGATTAAGACATCTCAGCAGCAGAGAGTGACATTTATTTTTCTCCTACTTGCTTAATGCTTCTCAGTATAGTAGGTTTTCTGCAAATGATTGAGTCTATTAAGACTCATATTAAAGTTAGAGTTTTCAAAATTGTTTTTATTCAAATACCTAAGACTAGGATGCTTTCTCTTTGAGAAAGGGTCCATTACAACATTGTAATTATATGTCCCATTCTATTGTTCTGTTCAGTAAAACTAGTTCTTTTGGTGCAGCGGAAGCTTTTTCTTCTTTCACTTAAAATGGAGGCACTCTTCTAAAGTAGTGGAAAGAAAATAATATTTATGGAAAAGGGAACAAAACTATTGGATTTCTGTATGCTACTTATATATATTCCATTTTAAAAGCATCTGATTTTATGCATTTTAGATTGTCAGTCATCTTCATTCATACTGACTTCTTTGATTGGAGATAATAGCTCCAGATGTGCAACCTACGCATTTTCTCATCCAGTAGAATATTTCACCTAATGCAGATGTAGTTAATTCAATTGATTAACTTCTTCAGTGTACAGCACCAAGTAGGTCACATTCCTAAAACTGTCTGTATGTCATCAGGTATTTTTAGCTTTTTGTTTTCATTCTTTCTTTTTTCTTTCTTTATTCTTATCACTATGGTAACAAAAGAATTTGTGACTGAGGACATGAATTTCATCTGAAAATCTTCCTTTGGGAGAATGAAGCATCTTCGAGCTGTGTGTAGTCTGATCTTAAGAGCTGCAGACCACACAAACATGAGAACTTTTTCCTGATATTCACTTAAATCCAAAATAAATGAAACCATTGACAATAGAAAATAGCACTACTGAAAGTAAGGGGGGAAAATGCATTGTGCTTGTAGATCATTGAATCACACATCTGCCTAGTCTGCAGAAATCTGAACTATCAAGATGCTCCCAACATGTAAATTAAACTTTTAGTTCACTTTCTACCATTAGAATGATCAGAAACTCAATGGGATGCTAAGTCCATTTTTCGTGTGGAGCTCCAGACAAAAACCAAAAAGAAAAATTTTAAATCCAAAATG